CCTAAATCGATTTTGTTAATTCGAATTAGGGTTAGTGTGGCCGCACACCACCGAATTACTGTGGTTAAAGTAATGGGGTAGTGTGGCCGCACACCACCGAATTAATGTGGTTAAAAACCGAATTAATGTGCTTAGTGTGGCCGCGCACAATCGAATTTATACAACCTGTTTCCCAAATTCGAATTATCTAAATTCGGATTAATCCTGTAGTGTAGACATACCCCTAGTCACCACAAGACTTCCTGTCTCCCTCATACTTTAACTCCTCATGTTAAGAGCAGCCACCTGTGAAACAAACTTCTGACCACATGCTGGCTTGTGCAGCACCTGTAAGCTATTCTGTGGTACCTGATAGAAGGAAAGCTACTCTAGGTGAACCAAAAGAAGACGAGCTGGTCACTGTGTCAGGGAAACAGTGACAATTGGTGAAGATGCAGACTAATGAGCTAACAACATGAACATTAGAGCAGTAAGATTAGCAGGTAAATAGCAAAAGAGGGATTTTCCCTCCTGTAGTTGTAAACAGATTCCACTAATTAGAAGCTGTTCACTATGCTAACAATAGATGCCCAAATTACTATAATTCAGAGATTCTTAGGCCAGAAAGGACCATTGTGATCATCTAGTGTGACCTCCTGTATAACACAGACCATAGAACTCCCCAAAATAATTTTGAGAGCATACCTTTTAGAAAAACATCCCACCTTGATTTAAAAATTGTCAGTGATGAATCCACCATAATCCTTGGTAAATTTTTCCAATGGTGAATTACTCTCACCTTTAAAAATGTACACCTTATTTCCAGTCTCAATTTGTCAAGCTTCAGCTTCCAGCGACTGGATTGTGTTATACCTTTCTCTGCTAAACTGACGAGTCCATTATTAAATATTTGTTTCCCACGTAGATACTTATAGCCTGTAATCAAATCATCCCTTAACCTTCTCTTTGTTAAGTTAAATAGATTGAGCTCTGAGTCTATGACTGTACAGTGTGTCTTCTAATCCTTGAATCATTCTCATAGCTTTTCTTTGAGCCCTCTGCAATTTATCAACATCCTTCTTCATAGCACTGAAACAGTGTTGGCCGAATTCTGCCACTTTTACTCATGTTGGTTACTACCTTATTCCACAAAGTACTCCACTGAAATCAAAGGGACAAATTGTGGAGTAAGGTACTACTCATTGTGACTGAATATAGCCTTGTCTGTATGAGTGGTTTAAACTGTTAGATTGAATAATGTTGTTGTAACAGGGACCATAAGTACAAAACAAGACATTGGAGAAAGCAAACCAGGTGGGAAAGCATGATTTTAAAACTAGCAACAGATGGCTTGAGAGCTGGAAAAAGTGTTACTCTATAACCATCCAAATACTGTGTGATGAGGCTGTTGATGTCTATGGGGAGACTTTTGTGAATTCTGAACTGTCCAAGATCTGTTTTTGCTATCAGCCCAAGAACATATGGAATAGAGATGAAACAGGATTGTTTTTTGTTGGTTTACCATAAAAACCATGGAAGCAATGGCAGCAGCAGACTCTTAGTAAATGGAGCATATATTTGGGGGTGGAAAGTGTCAAAAGAAAATGGCACAAAAATGAATCTTCTTGATCAAAGGATTCATGATGCATGACAGTTCTTCTTTTAAGAAAATGTGATAACTACAAAAAGGAAAACAAATTGAAATTGCAGCTGCTGACCATATAATAATCGGGGGGAGGGGGTAAGAATTTTTTTTTTTACTGAAGATGATTACAATGGAACTATTACTGTATCAGCTACACTTCAAAATTAAAATGTTATGTACAGGGGCAATATCAAAATGTAAATGAAGAACAAGTGACAACTGTTCTTTCTGACAAGCACCTTCAACAAAAACAGACCTCCCACAAGATTAAATTTATAATTAAAATTACGGAGAAGGGTGTTGTGTAAATAGCGATGAACCATGTGAGATACGTTTATATTCTGCAACTATGCTTTAAATCTCTGGAATTCTGTGTCTGATGGAGTTCCAAATGAGTCAGTTGCAGCCCAGCTGGATATGAGCTTAAGTATACTGACTGCTTAAACAATGAGGTCCAACAGGGTTCTAAATTAAGCAGAAGGCATTCACCTATCCTGACTGGAATATTTTAATCTCTGAATAAATTCTTCACAAGGCAACTGTGCCAAAATGCTGATTTTTTTCAAGAGGAAAATATTGGATTTCATTCCAGTCCCTAAAAATGAGATTGAAAAAATTAGCGTGTTTACCTTAGAAAGCAGATGAATAAGAGGGGACATGATAAAAAGAATATAAATAATGAATTGTCTAGAGAAGCTAGATTGGGAACTTCTGTTGACTGTTTGATAAAAAGGGGACCTTCATTGAAATTAAAAGGTGGGAAATTCAAAACCAATAAAAGGAAATATTTTCCCACACAATGTGTGATTAAACTGTGAAACTCATTTCCCCAGGAAGTCATTGAAACTTAAAACAGAACAAGAATCAAAAAGGGATTTGATAGTTATACGGATATCAAGAATATCCAGAGTTAAATATTAAACCTTGAGCTTCAGGGCTTAACCCAATTTTTAACGAGTAGAGACCAAGATGAGACCTAATGTGAGTGGTGGGGGGCAGATTATCTCAGATCTGCCTGCACAGGGTTCTTACACCTTCCTCCAAAACATCTGATGCTGGTCACTGTCAGAGACAGAATACTGGACTTGGACTGTAAACTCTCTGGGGCAGGGACTGTCTTTTTTTCTGTGTTTGTACAGCACCTAACACAGTTGGGCCATGGTCCCTGACTGGGGATCCAATGCAGCATGATAATACAAATAAACAAATAAATAATAATCAGTTGACCTTGAGTCTGATCCAGGGTGGCATTTCTTATGTTTCTAAATGTGCAACAAATTTACTGCATGTAATAAAGAACTAATTCTGGCTCCAGGTGGTAGCATTGGGAATTGAAGGCATTAATTTATTGGTATGTATTAGTGTATTCATTTACATTCAAATGATATTTACTAGAGTAAATATTGCTAAAGCCTCATTATATAGGACCGTTAATGTTTAGAATTATACAACCAATAAAATGTTTGTTCACATTATTTTTTAATCCGTGAATGGCACGCTTTGCCGGACGGTCATCCAAAGTTCCATAGCACTATGAGGCATAAAGTAATTGGTTAAATATCATTAGAATTTAGAACAAAAATTGTGTCTTCCTTCAAATAATGCCAAATTAGTGGAGTTGAAACCTTATCTAAAGTCCTAGTTACATATTCATTGCTTAGAGCAGATATCTCCCCACACTTATATATTTATCAATGTTTCTATTTTCTACTGAACCCTCTCAAAAATGTTTTGGAGCCACACATTCTCTCCATCTCTTTGGCTACAAGTTATTTCTATGAATAATTCACCAAACAATCTGCACTAGGACTCTGGAGTATAATAAAAGTTGATTCTGATTCTGTTCTTCCACGGGCTTTGTAAAACTGCCTTTGCCAGTAGAAAATGGTAGAAAGGAATACCTAGAAATACTTATTTTATGAAGACAACAGCGCTAGACTTAACATCTGCTGCTCAGCTCAGAGTATGTAAAATGGGATAACTATAACTGCAGGCAGATATCAAAATTATCCAGCAAAACTTTCATATAATTGATTTCAGAGATGTCAAACGAACATGTTCTATAAGTGAAATGAATGTATGCTATAACTTAAGAGTAAGAAAACGCCCCAAGATGATTATACAACTGGGTACATTTTCATTTAAGAGTCTCTGAGATTTCACAATGCTGTAAAAACCATTAGAAACATGTGTCTTTTCAAAACATGAAGACTCCAAAGGCTTCCTTACTAAAGATAAAAGATGAAAGGAAATACTCTACCAGTTGGATCAAAGTCTGGAAAATAATCTGGACAATTCTGATCAGTGAAACTTCCAGCAGGTGTGTCATCCCAGCACAACCATCCATCCCAAGTTCGGTTGCAGAACAGACCTAGTCATTTAGGAAGAATGTGATAATTAATTAAAAAAAATTGATCACACTTAACCCACTCTGTTCTATTCCCCTCCAGTTAAAAGGCTGTCCACTTGTTGCAAAGTACAGAGTTCTTCATGCAGCAAAATACAATTATTGCTACACTTTGAAGTGCATTCAAATGTAAATTTTAATTTATGGCTGCCATTGCTGAGCTGTTGCGGGTGGTGTCCTTCTTGCTGAAAAGTGATGGTTTTTACACCAATTGAAAAGAACTTCCAATATAGAGCCTGATGCTGAAAAACCAGAAGTCCCAATTCAGCAATCCATTCATATTCAGCAAAGCATTTTAGCACATGCTAAAGTGCTTAACTGATTTGGGGATTTAGTCACATTGGTAGTACATGTACCTTCAGTTTCTCAGCACCTTTGAAAATCAGGCCCTGGTCTTGTAAACTGGAAACTTAAAAATTTAGAGGCATGCCCAGTTAAAGGCACTACTGGACAAATTGTGGCTTTTAAGTCACATCCCATGATTAGGGCTTCTGATCTTAGGTTTTAACCAATAAACATAAATAAAAGCTCCAATGCAAACAGAAAATGAAATTGGTACTTAGCCAATAAACACCGGAAAAAACACCAGAAATGGTAACTAAGAGCTTGTCCACATAGAGCTGTAACGTGGACTGCCAGGGTGTGACTTCTAAAGCATATTAATGTGTAGTGCATGAATTTGTCCGTGTAGACCCTGCAGGTGCACACTAAAGATTCCCTAGTGCACTTTACCATAGTGCTGTTTGAAACAATTGTACTTTAAAGCACACTCGGGAACATTAAAGAAATTATTCATGACAGTATAAACAAAGAGAAAGTCCTGAACCTCCCCCTCCTCCCAATTTTTGGATATCAAAATATAATTCAAAAATTGTTAAAAATACCCCCCCCCCATGAAATTAATAAACTCAGAAAAAACAGATGCCCTACCCAGGATGCAGAGGTTACAGACATAGACCCAGGTCCTGCAATATGATGCATATAGGCAAACCCCTGCACTTGTGTGCAGTGCAGGAGTGGGGCCTTACCAGGGCCAGCTCCAGGCACCAGCTCAGCAAGCAGGTGCTTGGGGCGGCCAACGGAGAGGGGCGGCACGTCCGGCTCTTCAGCAGCAATTCAGCGGCGGGTCCCTCACTCCCTCTCGGAGCGAAGGACCTGCCGCCAAATTGCTGCCGAAGAATGAAGCGGCGGCGGTAGAGCTGCCTCCGAAGTGCCGCAGATTGTGATTGCGGCTTTTTTTTTTTTTTCCTGCTTGGGGCAGCAAAAACCCTGGAGTCGGCTCTGGGCCTTATTCAGATTTCCTCTCGAAGGACCCTGGGGGATACAGATTACAGCTCTGCCACCCTTCCATCTGATACATTACACATTCCTCCCCATGCCAGGCTAGCCCCACTGCTTGATGCAGTCCTGGGAGAGCTGGGCTATAATCCTGTCTTGGGCAAGTAGCACTTGTGGGGGCATAAGGAGGTAGCATTGCCCAAGCTCCCTAATGGGGTTATGCCCAGCCCCTGAAATGGAGCAGAAGGGGATGGAGAAGATTCCTTAGCCCTTTTCCCCACCAGACTTATCTACCCATTCTGGGTTGGGCACAACTGAGTCTTGACTTCCCTCTTCTAATTGTTAAATCAGAATTCGTTTACAGCCTGTTACACTGAGTTCACAGATTGATAGCGTAACAAATGACACTGTAGTTCTGAATGCTGTGGCATAAATCTGCCACTAGCTGCAGGTGTAGAAACATAAATGCAATGAAAAATCTAGGCTTTGGGGGTATTTTTAATTTTAAAATCAGATTACGCAGGAGAAAAAGCATTCACTCCCATGGCCCCGCTGCAACACCTACTGAAGTCAATGAACATGGAATCATTGACTGTGATGATCAGGCATAACATGCATTTTCAAAATCCTTTGATGGTTGATGGGAGAGATTTTGAAAGGCACAAATGGCAGTTAGGCTCCTAACTGATACTGGAAATTAATGGGATTTGGGTGTCTAATTGTGGTTGTGCATTTGAATCTCTCTCCCAATGGAAGCAAATCTTCTTAAGGAACGTGACAGCATTTATAACAGAGGGAAAAAGATGTTAATAGATGACTGAGCTACTGAAGAAACTGTACCCACAGTAGATATTTTAAGTCAGTAGATCTATTGTCGAAAAATGGATGCTTTCAAATTTAATTTTTCAGCTGAAATTTACTATACATTTTTTCTTTTTAAGACCACTTGTTTTCTCATTATGTAAGAATCCATGTATGTTTATTTTTCTCCATTATCAACAGATGTGCTGAACTACTTGTTCAGGTTATTAACAAATCATGATATTACTTCAGTGTGGGATAGAATTACATACCCTCAGTTAGTTATATTTCTTTCTGTAAAGCACTTGACTACCCTTCTCAAAGGGTTTGAGATATATTTGCATGAGCTTGAGGAATTAGTTGGTAAAATCAAAAGCAGAGAAATATTGCAGAAGCAAAGTGCAATTTAAACACATTTCTGAAAGGCACTGCAGTCTGGGCTGTATAGGAGGCTTTGATTTTAATTTTGAAAACATTTGTCATGCCTTGAAATGAAAAACAAAAAAACAAAACAACCACTGATGTTTTTCAATACACCATACAGCCTTTCCTTCAAGGAAAACAACAAGACAATTTTTTTCCACTGGACATATCAGAAATACACATCTACGTGATAAAATAGAAAAGTGACAATTTGAAGAGAATAATGAATAATAACTGGCCCAGGAATAATACAATTTTGAAAATGAAGGGGGGGGGGAAAATGATTCTCTCGAAATCACGTAGATTGAAATTCTGTGCTGCAACTTGAAGGCAGAGTATGGTGGCTTTAAGCCACTTGTGTGCCCACCCAGTCCTGGACTCCTTCAAGGGCTGGAGAGGCTCCGGAAGTATACAGCCTTGGGTTCTAAGTTATGGCAGTCTCTCTGGGTTGCCCTATGGGCTGCAGTGCTGCATGGAATAGCCGCAGCTTTGCATGCTGAAGCCCTGCTCCTGATACATCCACTAAACCAGGGGATCCTCTCCTCAGAAGACAGCCTTATAGCTGACTTCTGCAATTCCTGCACCAGGGCAATCTGCTGACAAGGTATTTAGAGCCCCTTTATGCTGCTCCAGGCCTTCTTTTGAGGTTTAACGGGTTGGGGTGAGGGGTAAAGGTCTTTTTTTGTATCAATTTTTCTTCATAGAACCAAACTGAAAAAAAAAATCATTTCATTCATGTTGAAATCATCTCAGTTATTCTCACCATAAGAAATAAACCCCCCATATCTTGTATCAAACCCAGCCGTATCAAATGACAACTTCAATCTAGCTGTCAGTCAGCGGCACGTAGGAGTTGCCACACTGCACTAGACCAGCATCCATCTCCTGTCTGCAGTAGAGCTGCAGCGGAGGAAATTGCAAGAAATCCTGCAGTGGAAATTAGTCCCTGATCCTGTAAATCCTTAAGCATTTGTGTAACTTTACTCACACAACAAGTCCCACTGAAGCCAATAGAACTTTTTACATGAGTGAATCTACAGAGGTTTGTGGAACTGGGGCCTAATAGAATAAGCTGCTCATAAAGGATTTTTTCCCCTAAAGCCCAGCAATTAGAGGTTTGCTTTTGCCCTGACACACAAGGGCTTATCTCCCTTAATGAGTGGTTTATCCTATCTTATAGCTATGGATGTTCTCATTATGGACCTGAATACTATGCCCACTGAAGTCAATAGGAGCCTTTCCACTGACTTCAATACACTTTAGATCAGACCTTGAACATCTAAATGTCAAATCATTTTTTGAATCTCACAGAGCTCAGTAATATCCTGTGAGCACAATAACATTTTGTGGTGATAAGTCCCATAGTCTACATATCCATTGTGTATAAAAATACCTTCTTTAATCCAATATAGATGTCATACATTTGTCAGCTTTCAGTTTCATCAAATTTCTCTTTGTTCTTGTATTATGAGAAAAACATATCTGATTTACCTTCTCTATACCAGTCATTATTTTGTATATTTTTATCATGTCCTCTTTTAGTTGTCTCCTCTCTACACTAAACAGTCCCGATATGTTTAATTTTTTCTCACATAAAATCTCACAATGCCTGTAATCATTTTGTCACCCTTCTCTGGCTTACTTTTATTTCCACGGTATCCTTTTTGAGATGAGACTGACCAGAACTGAACACAGTATTCCTAGTGTGGGTGCTTCTGGAACTATATCATGACAGCATGATATGTCCAATATTATTTTCCATTCCATTGCTTATACATCCCAATATTTTGTTTGCTCTTTTGACTACTACTCCACAGGACAGCCCTAGATGTTTTCTGGCCCAGGATGGAAAATGTGCCCATCCTACCTCCAAAAGCACACACACACACACACACACAAAATCAAACCAAATAAAAAAAAAAACCCACACAATTCCCCGCATTGACCATGATTTGGTGCCCTGAGGATGGCTGCCTACATTATCCACCCCTAAGGCTGGCCCAGCCACTCTGGCTTCAGCAAAGGTTTCATTGAGCTGTTCACAATAATGCCTATGACTGGATGGTTACATTTAACTTAGAATACAGAATATTTAGAACATGTGTGTTAATTTAGAACCCAGAAAGGTGTCGGTCAATAAACAAATTATGAAAAAATGAAATCGCTGGTTGAAGAAAATAGAAGGACATCTATATTGAAGAGATTGCTATTCATATTCTCTCTCTTTAAAGTATCTGTGTGAGTTTGATACTTGTAAAAGTTGCAGGACTGACAGCCCTAGGCCTGGTCTACACTACGACTTTAATTCGGATTTAGCTGCGTTAATCCGAATTAACCCTTCACCCGTCCACACTACAGAGCCAGTTAATTCGAATTAAAGGGCACTTAAAATCGATTTCTGTACTCCACCTCGACGAGCGGAGTAGAGCCTAAATCGATTTTGTTAATTCGAATTAGGGTTAGTGTGGCCGCACACCACCGAATTACTGTGTTTAAATTAATGGGGTAGTGTGGCCGCACACCACCGAATTAATGTGGTTAAAAACCGAATTAAGGTGCTTAGTGTGGCCGCGCACAATCGAATTTATACAACCTGTTTCCCAAATTCGAATTATCTAAATTCGGATTAATCCTGTAGTGTAGACATACCCCTAAAGACTGATGTTCCCAAAGCATGAACAGCAATAATTCAAGCTTCACCACATTGCCAATTCAGTGTGCCTCAACGGTGTCAGGGAGGAATGATCTCTAAGGGTGAGAGGATTGTTCATTCTCCATGATCATCTGTAGGGCTATTCTCCCTAAAACTGATACAATGGGTGATAAATTGGTATGATTTTGCAAATGCAGACAGTAAGACTATGCATAATAATATTAGTACACAGAAGGAAATGTTATACAGAAAACACATCAATGTGCAATTTTTTTTTTTTTACCTTTTTTTCTATATGGTGGATCTCTGTTCATTCTCTCATAGCATTTGAACTGTGAATCTATTATCTTCTGTCGTTCTGGTGAATGTTCAGTTACTACAGGCTCTAATGTAGGATCAGTATAATTGACAGTAGAAGTAAGACTTGGAGCCATTCTCTGCAGAAAGGAAAATCTGTTAATGTAAATGAGTAAAACCAGGAGGAGAAAATCAAAAACATGAGGTTCAGAAATCTCTATTATCCTTACTTCAAAGGCCTTTTATCTGCACATATGCTTAGTATTTTTTATGGAACTTTTATCTTTGGCAAAGCAAATTGTAAATATAGTAGTTTTTCTCCACTATAAACTCAGCATTTTAACCACATTCTTTCCCTTAGACTAGGCAACATAAAGAATCATTAGAGACCTTGTAAAGGCTGAGAAACGTTTCATTTGTTTTATTGGCCTACAGGTACTTTTTAAAATCTGCCCTGCCACAAGTTGCTGCTCCCAGCTATCTTCTCTAGACAACGTAGGTTTTTCCACTGTACCTAACGTTTATCTTATTGCCACATCTTATAAATCAACTGAATGTTTCATATTCTGAGTGATCAAGCTGATGTCAACCTGGAAATCCACTGAAGTGTTGATGCAAATAGAGGCATAGGCCAAAGATTTCAAGCCTAAGAGCCTAAGTTTAGGTCTTTCAATCCTTAGTTGGACATATAAGTAAAACGTACCTGATTTTCAAAAGTGCTGAGTGCCTGTAGCCCCCTTTGATTACAGTGGGCTATATTGTGGCATTTATTCCACAGCCCTGTGTAAGGACAGGGCAGACTCACACTACTCTACTAGAATCATGGAAAGACTGTCTCAGCCAGACAAAATCTCTTCTGTGATGGGTCAGTGCACATGGGAGTGCACACCTTGTTCCATCCATTAAGATCTGATTGATCCCTCTATTGCACCAGACCAGCTCTGTGAGCCAGTCTAAAGTGAGATAGCATGGGGCTTTTGTTCCTCTCCACCCTACTCCACCCGTTTTGTAATGTGCTCCCAATGGGAGGTGAATGGAACGAGCAGTTCCTATGCTTCCTTTGTTTGACTCCCTACCTCTCCACAGTAACCATCACACTCTGGCCCATAGGGATTTGTAGGTGCTCGGCCCCTTTGAACATCAGGCCACATTTATTTAGGTGTATACATTTTATTTTGGAATGTAACTTCAGGCACCCAGGTTTGAAAATGTAGGGCCCAACCTTTATTATTCCAAGCCTAGTTTTCCTTAGAGACTAGGCATGCACGCCTTTTGGCTTTAATACAAGATTCCATTTGGCTGCATTGTTTCTCAAAACCAAAATGTGTGTTTGGCTTTCCCACAAAGGATCCCAGGAGTATGTTTCAGATGATATCTACTCCATTTATAGGTCACTCACTGCAAGCCTGAGGGGTTTATAGCAGCATTTGATGATTTAAACAGGCATTTATAGTTGTACAAATAGAAAACATGACAATTTTCAACCCTATTTTAATACCACCCTATTCCTCCAAAATAATACTTGTTCCTTATTGCTCAAGTAATACCACAAACTATTGCATTCAAATGTTGTTTCATTTAACACTACTAGATCACTTTTATATAGTCTATAACATAGACAGTGTGTTTGAAATACAGAAAGCAAAGACTGAATTTTATTACAATTCTTCTGTTTCAAGTTATTTCATTTTAGCCCTTTAATGCCCCCATATCTAACCGAATTTACAATCACATTTGCTACCAACATTTTAATTTTCACTAGCAAACAACCACCATTTGGAGTGGAAGGGGGATGAAGAATGCATTTTACTTCATTATACTGAGATAATTGTTTGACATAAAACAGATGGAAATAGGAAGAAGGGAGATATATTCTTGATAGGTTCTACTCTATTCTTTTAAATTTAGGTACTTATACTACACCCTTCACTCAGTGAGTGAGGTATGTCTGGATGGTTCTGTTTGGATACTTGGATAAAAATGAATTAAAGTGTATAGAAAGCCTAGAACCAAGAACAAATATGTAAATGTACCCCAGATCGGTGAAAAGGGAGTGGGACTCACAAAAGACCTTCCAAAGCTACATCAGCAACAACCAAATATCAAGGAGGAATTAACAAAACATTCAAAACCCTGAGGGTACGTCTATACTTACTTCCTGGTCCGGATGTAAGCGATCGATCTTCTGGGATCGATTTATCGCGTCTTGTCTAGACGCGATAAATCGATCCCGGAAGTGCTTGCCGTCGACGCCGGTACTCCAGCTCAGCGAGAGGAGTATGCGGCATCGACGGGGGAGCCTGCCTGCAGCGTCTGGACCCGCGGTAAGTTCGGACTAAGGTACTTCGAATTCGCGTACCTTAGTCCGAAGTGGGGGGTTAGTGTGGACCAGGCCTCAGTGACGAGGAAGGCTACAGAGGGATGGGATGAAAAAGTGGAGGGACAGGGCCTCCATATAGATGGCCTCTGTTTCTGGTGGCTTCCCTGGCATGCATGTATAAGCGGGGGAATGGTCCCGCTATTGTGGGGAACTTTCCTAGCTTCTGCACTACCCCGGTGAAGTGGGCTAGTGAAAGGATCTGAGTCCTCGCTCCCACTCCCTTTACCCAGAGGCCTCCCTGCCCTTGAGGACTCCCCTTCCACTCTCCTGTCTGGCAGAGTCCTCGTAACCCCGACAAGGCTGGGCCCAGGATTCCTGGGGGGCTCGACCCCCAACCTTGCTGTGGTCACCCAGGACAGGGGCTAGGGTGTCCCCACTCCGGGGTACTCTCTCTGCACTGGGCACCTCCCTGACCCACTGATCATTTCATACAATTTAAAGCAAATACAAGTTGTTTAATTAACAATTACTTTTAAAAAAGAATAAGGAAAAATGGGAAAGGTTAAAGGAAAACACATCACCCTGCTCTGTGGCAGGGAACATCACAAACAGTGTCTCTGGAACGTCAGGGCAGTTCACAGTCTGTTCCTTGTAGGTCCCAGGCCTCCTTCTCAGGCCCTGGCTGTGCTGCAGAGACGCTGCGGGTTGGACACTTGCGCTGGCGGTGGCCACACGCTCTCAGGCTCTACGTGGCAGGACCCTTCTTCCCAGCGTTGCCCCCGCCCTGACAGGGTTACGATCCCCCCAAGTCTGGCCTGCAAGGCCTCTTGGCTGAGGTATCTCCCTGCGCTGGGCCCACTGCCCAGGGTCCCCCTCACTTTCCCCAGCTGCTCACCGCACCCAGCTCCGGACTGCTCCAGCCCCGGCTCCAGCTCCCCTCTGCCTCAGCACGGCTGCTGCTGCTGCTGCTCTGCCTCCAGCTCCCTGGGCTGCTTCTCTGGCTCTGGTTGCTGCAGCTCTGCCCCCAGGACAGGTCGGCTCTGCAGGCTGCTTCTGTGACTCTGCTCCCAGCTCTGACCTGCTTCCTGGCTGCTCTGGCTCTGGCTCTGGTGGCTGCAGCTCTGCTCCCAGGGCAGCTCTGCTCTCTCTGGGCTGTGCTCTGGCTTTGGGGCTGCAGCTCTGCTCCCAGCAACTTAGCTCGGGCCCCTGCTCTCTCCTTAGCTCGGCCCCACTCTGTCTGACTCAGGCCATTCCAGCTCACACGGAGGACGGGAACCCCCGGGCCTCCTGATTCTCTGATTAGCCTGCCCGCCCTGTCAATCAGGCTGATCTGGAGCATTGGCCTCTCCCCATTGTTCCTGGGGACTGTCAGTCTCAGGCTCCTGATTTGCCATCGACCCTTCCCCTTTTAGTGCTGGGAGCTAGCCAGCCAAAACACCCCCACTGAATGTTAGTAAGGGGGCAACAGTCCCCTTACACATGGGGATTTTGAAAGATCTGCAGGTTTTGGAGGTAGAGCCATATGATTGTTCTGACCCCCTTTTTGACCAAACACAATTAAAACCAATTCAAAGATTAGCCAGAAGAGATTGAAAAGTTTGTGATCCTGAATTATACATGTTTGTTCCACTAGATTTTTCCTTACAACTTAGAGAACAATTCAAATATGAGATAAAAGGGAAAAATATACATCTATATGTTAGAACAGTAAGCACATGTTAAGTAATTAAAAAAAATCTTGCCATCTTTTTTAACCTTTTCAAGATGATCTCTCTCTTTCTCTCTCTCTCTATATAAAAGAGGACTGTGCATTCACAGAGGCTACATAGGACAGAAACATAGTGTACCTTGAAATTAAAAGGAAGAAATGCCAGCAGAAAGGAAATGTACTAACGGTATCTTGTAGTAGGTGAGGACATGATGATTTACTATTGTAAAGCCATTTTTAAAGGGAATGCTAGTCTTTTTGTGAGTAGGATATTTCTGAGAGAGAAGACATCTTATTCTTGAAGAGCAATTTTACAAATTGCCACACACAAAGGGACTAGGCCTGTTCCCAAAGAAGTTAATGGCAAAACTTTCATTGGGTATATAGTTAGAGGAGAACACCTTACTCGGTGGTTGTTGGTCTTGTGTGTGTGTGTTTGGTGGCAGGATGTGTATGCAAATGGAGTAAGAATTCACACCCTGCTTTGTTAATTTTGTATTTAGCACAGTGCATTGTATCTGTATCTAAGTCATCTATACAGTATTGTTTAAATTAAGCTATAATGTAACAAATGAGACTGTATTCTCTAGTCATTAGAAAATGTAAAAGGTGAAATCGTGGCCCCATTAAAGTCAATGGCAAAATTCTCACTGACTTCAGTGGGCCCTTGATTTCATCCAGGTAAATTAAAAACACAGAGGTGACTTTCTCATGATAGTCTTATAAATAAAAACTGCTTTATGGCATATAGTAAATCTTACCTGTATTTGGATAAAAAACAGAACATTAACGTTTTGATACAATAGGCCCAGATTCGCAAAGGTATTTATGCTCCTAACTTCTATTGATTTCAATGGAAGTTGGAAGCATAATTACCTTTGAGGATCTGGCCAATAGTCCCTGACATAAGCTCAGTTTTGTTCTTTTAGTGCACAATAAGCATTTGCACACATCAGGTAGTTTATTCACAATTTATTTGTGCATGCATACTTTTGAAAATCTGACCAATGCTTTGTAAGTAAGAACAGTATTTTTTTTCTCTTTCTCTCACTGTCTCTTAAAATCAGGTAAAAAAAAATCTGAGGATGAATGTGAAATATACATTTTTGGAG